CTTCGGATTTACCCAGCATGTTTCTGGCCCCACAAACACCAGGGGACACACTCTAGACCTTGTTTTTACCCTGAGTCTAAATGCTGACAGTGTTTGTCCTGAGGACGTTTATATTTCAGATCACCATTGCATTTTCTTTAACTTGTCAGTTTCTGCGTCCCCACCTCCTGCTCGCCGTATGGTTAGTTCTCGTTTTCTTAATGAGAGCACAGCTAGCAATTCTTCTGCTGCTTTTGATCCACCCTGTTCTTCTGATAACGACCCAGATTCCTTAACTTCTCAGTTTAACGAGCACTGCCTCTCCATTCTGGACAACATCTGTCCTGTCAGAACCAGATCAGTTCCTGCAGTGAACCCTACTCCCTGGTTTAATGACAGCCTTCGCAGCCTGAAGCGCCAATGCAGAAAAATTGAGCGCTTGTGGAAGAAGACCCATCTCCACGTCCATCTGCTGCACCTAAAGGATCTTCTGACATCCTTTAACTCTGCAGTCAGAGATGCTAGGGTTTCCTATTTCTCCAACCTGGTGTCCCAGAGCAAAGGGTGCCCCAAGGTGCTGTTTAACACCATCAGCAGCATCGTCTCTCCTGCCTCTCCTACAGCCTCCATCCACTCTGTTGCAGACTGTGAGAACTTTCTGTCTTTCTTTGTGGACAAAGTCAATAAGGTCAGATCTAGCATCTCTCCTTCAGCCTTATCGCCGCCTCTCCCGACTCCAACCAGGCCCATCATCCTAGATAGCTTTGCTCCTGTTTCTTTGCCTGAGTTAACCAAACTAGTTAACTCTATGAAGACCTCTGCATGCCCCCTCCACATCTTACCCTCATCTTTGTTTAAAAGTGCTTTTCAGTCCATCGGTCCCAGCGTGCTCTCTATAATTAATGCTTCTCTGGTTTCTGGTCAGGTCCCTGCTTACTTTAAGAACGCTGTAATCCACCCGCTTCTTAAAAAAACGAGTCTCGACCCCTCTCTCCATAGCAGCTTCAGACCCATCTCTAAACTTCCGTTCATCTCCAAGATCTTGGAAAAGGTTGTGGCTAAACAACTCACAGCTGCTCTTGATGAACATAACTTCTATGATAGCTTACAGTCAGGTTTTCGTAGAGCTCATTCTACTGAAACAGCTCTTCTTAGGGTCTCCTGGTTCTGGTCTATAGGGCCTTACATGGACAAGCACCATCTTACATTGGTGATCTTCTTAGTCCCTACACCCCCAGCAGGTCCCTGAGGTCCAGTGATCAAAGCCTACTGGTTGTGCAGCACCAGGCTAAAGGTCAAAGGTGACAGATCATCTGCTGCTGTGGCCCCCAGACTCTGGACCTCTCTCCCCCTGAGCCTGAGATCAGTGGACTCAGTGGTCTCCTTTAAAAAGCAGCTGAAGACTCACTTGTTCAAGCTGGCTTTTGTATGACCTTCTTCACCTCTCTCTCTTTATTCTGCTCTCCCCACCTATCCCACCTTCCTCAGGATCCACTGATTTCCCTCTTTCCTGTTCACTCTCTCTTTCTTAGCATTTTTTTAATCACAATTGTCTATTTTTGCTCATTTTAAATATATTTTTAAACATTTTCTAAATGCTTTTTAATATTTTTACATTTTTTGTTTTTGTGAAGTGCCTCGTGATTTTTATCTTGAGAGGCGCTACAGAAATGATATTTTTTCTTCTTAAATGTATAATACAAACAAAAACTAAAAGATCAGAGTGATTTAGGACATCTGAGGGTGCACACAGACCTTGTTTTTAAAAGCAATACAGGAATTAATTGATGGTGTTTGGTGAGTAAAAGTATAAATATTTATTGTAGATTGATGTACTTTTGAAGAAATATTATAAATCGTGTGTTACATTTTGTAAGTAGATTGCTTCTTCTTAATGTAATTATTATTATTATTATTATTATTATTATTATTATTATTATTATTATTATTATTAATATTACTAGTAGCTCTCCCTTGCTCTGCCTCCAACATGCCTCCATCTAAATAGGATAGATTATCCAGAGTTATCTCTGTAGTTATGCTGCTATAGGCTTAGACTGCTGGAGGACACACTGACCACTTTCCACATTCTACTGCTTTCTTCTACAATCTGCTCTTTAACTGTATTATTTCCTGCTATTTCAGCTGTTAACTTTATTTTCTCTCTAAGTGTTTTTCTCCCCAGAAGAAGCTACAACGATGTTCTGCTGAGCTGTGGTGGCCTCATGGAGGGGGCCATCGTGTGTGTGTGTGTGTGTGTGTGTGTGTGTGTGTGTGTGTGTGTGTGTGTGTGTGTGTGTGTGTGTGTGTGTGTGTGAGAGTCATGGAGGATGGCTGCTTATACTGAGCCAGGATTCTCTGAAGGTTTCTTCCTGTTAAAAGGGAGTTTTCCTCTCCACTGTCGCTAAATGCTTGCTTAGTATGAGGACTGCTGTAAAGTCACTGACACTAGTCAGTGACTCGATGCAGTTTGCTGGGTTCCTTATATGGAAACATTTTACTGACTGGCCTAATGACCTGACCTGTATTGGAATGTTTATTGTGTGAAGGTCCTCGAGACGACTCTTGTCGTGAATTGGCGCTTTATAAATACAATTGAAATGAATTGAGTAGTGGTAGTAGTAGTAATTGCATTCTTATTGTTGTAATAAATCAAGCAGTCTAACTGTATTAACATACATACAGTTCAGTTTAAAAAAGACATGATCTGATTGTAATTTTAAGCTTTATGATTTAAAGAGTTAATAAAAAACTAACTTGAATGACGAAAAAAACTGCATTTGTCATCCACCACCACTCTGTAGAAATCACAGTTTACATAGAAGCTACGTTAATAAGAGTTAATAAAAAGTCATTAAAATCCCATTGAGGTTATATTTTTTGCCCCGCTGGTGCCAGTCATTGTGAAGAATCCTTCACTCTCACAGTGGGGGTAGTTTTTGGACACTGACTACTGTGGGGCGTCCACAGAAATCACACTGAGGGACTAAACTGGGCAGACTGTTGGATTCCCTGTGTGGGCTGCCACCAACAGGGCTATGGTGGGCATTACTTGGGCAGATACTATGTGGGATGCCCTCGGAAATAAATGGTTAGCACACAAGTGCAAACATGGGGCTGGCTGATGGGATGGATTTGGGCAAATCCATTTGTGGGTTGCCCTTTAAATCTTAAAGGGTCCCTTGTGGGAAAGCACATATGAGCACCATTCATACACAAGATCCTTGTGTGTTAACTATGGGTAAGTGTGGGTTTGACCTGCCTTCACCAACCCAGACACTAAAGTCCACGGTGGGCCCAAACGGGCCGGTTCACTGGGAGGGTGATAGGTCAAACAAATGTCCAGAATGGGTCCGATGCGGGTCTGTTCTAAGTGCCCAGCATATACGCCATCCACACTACACGTATGGCTCCGCTCACTGTAAATACAACTGAAAAGGACACTGTAGTGCCGTGGCAGTGCTCCGCTCTGTTGCCTGACCTGGAGATGCCATCTTTCTGAAAGACCGCTCGCATCCTTCCAAAAACACATCTTTGGTTAGAAGCTTCCCAGCCAAACGATCTGACGTCATGCTCATTCTTAGTGATGTATCATGTTAGTTAGCTCTTGATTTTCACAAACAGGACTCTGCTTAGCTCACACGAGCCGCATGGTGGCGCAGTGGTTAGCACTGTCGCCTCGCAGCACGAAGGTTGCAGGTTGGAAACTCGGCTGCGGCCTTTCTGCGTGGAGTTGCGTGTTCTCCCCATGCATGCGTGGGTTTCCTCCGGGTACTCCGGTTTCCCCCACAGATCACAACACGCCCTATAGGTTATAAACTGTAAGTCGCTTTGGATAAAAGCGTCTGCTAAATGAATAAACATAAACATCAACATAAACCTAGCACGCATCCACTCTCTGGTTTCTACACGGCGTGTTCGTAATGCCCCGCCGGGGTTTTTCCTGCACATCAATGTACGTTTAGCAGTTTCAACAAGAGCACCCATAAGTAGGTCATACGATACACAGATATCCTCCTTGTGGATGCAGTTTGGACCAGAACATCTAATCGCATCGATATTGTTTCATATTAGAACCCAAATTGTTATTGTCTGTTTATTAGAGCTTTAGAATAAAGTTTTCAGAAAAAGTTTTGACTGGTTGCACCCCGATTGACCATCAACTCATTAAACTAGTCTCTATGTCTGTGAGGATGCTCAGTGACTAACATTTGTTTGGAGTCTTTCCAGCTTCAACCAGATTTCTCCGGTCCAGTTTTCCGTAAACCAGGAGCGACTGGACAGAGTTCAGCTTAACAACATTATGCAACTCAACACTTTCTGCTTCTGCCCTCAAATCGTACCGAGTTCCTTCTCAAGGACTAAATAATCAACATAATTATCCTCAGTGTAACACTCATTTTGTGGCTGGATGGCTGTATAAGAAATGGAACAGATGTTCAGCTTTTGATGGCAGGCATAAAACATCGCTCATCTCAAGGAGCTCCACTTAAAATCCAACCCCTCCCACGCTCCCCAGCGTTCCGGGGACTCGGATGGAGGCTGGCTGAAAGGAATTTTAATTACCAGACCAAAGAAAAATTCTTGTTGTCAAAGCAGGCGTATTACTGTTGTGTTTCCCGATGCTCCCCGAACAGAAAATGCTAAAATGAATTAATGCCTGCCAGAAGATAATATTGTGTCTGACAACTTAATGACGGTATGGAAAGCCGAGAAAATGTTTCCTACCCAGTGTTAACTGTGTGTTATACACAATGACTCTGACTCCGGGTTTCAGCTCAAACTCCACCAGGTTCTGGTTCAGGGCCGTCACGATGACGCTGGAGGCCTGCGGAGCGTCAGGACAGGACGTACATGTAAAAACAAACTAATCTAATGGTTTCTATAACAATCAGGCATATCCACCTTCTCCAGCTCTTCCTCACACTTTTTCCTGTCATCTGATTGGTTCTTGTTGGGTACCAGGAAGAGCTCTGCAGCTGTTGGAACTCCTGGAAACACGGCGACCAGAAGGTGCTCCTCGGGGAAGTCGGACACCTGCCACATTGCAACCAGATTTTATTAGACTGACCGAATCCTCCAGGCTCACGACTCAAGGCAGGGAAAATGCTGAAAACTGAGGATCAAATCAAATCAACTTTATTTATACAGCACTTTTCATACAAAAAAACAACAACTCAAAGTGTTTCACAGGTTAAAATGGCCCCATAGATCCCAGCCCCCCTCCCCAAGTATAAAACAACTGACAATTACGGTTCCCCTCCCGCACCCAACTTCCAAGGTGGGCTCACACACACACACACACACACACACACACACACACACACACACACACACACACACACACACACACACACACACACACACACACACACACACACACACACACACACACACACACACACGCGAACAACAGAGGAAACAATAGGCTGAGATCAGATGGGTCAGGTAATGAACGAGACATCATCAGCGGAGCCATCTGCCCTGACAGCAACAGATCCACGGCAGCAGCCAAGACACCGGCCCATGACGCCCAGTGGGGGAGGGCAGAAACCCCCCCACCAGTGCCCGGGCACTACCTGAGGAACGCCCCGGCCGCCGCCGCCGACCACCGGCCCCAAGGCAGAGGGCTCCGCAGAGGAAACACTGGAGGATTAAAATATATAACATGTAAATAACAAAAGCTAATATGGATAAAAAGTAACTGATAAAAAGTGATTATAAAGATAGTAAAAGAAAACATAATCATGTAAAAACACTAAGATGTAGATAAAATAATAAAATCAATTAAGAGATAAATAGGTATATATATATATATATATATATATATATATATATATATATATATATATATATATATATATATATAAATAAACAAATATGACAGGTGATAGACTAGATAAACAGTAATCAGTTAAAAGCTAAGCTAAAAGGTGGGTCTTGAGCCTGTTCTAAATCCTTCTGTAAGGGAATCACGTAGAAGTTAATTCTAGATGTAGCTAAAACAAATAAATAATTGAAGAGTGGCTTTAAGTATCTCGGAGTCTTGTTCACGAGTGAGGGGAAGATGGAGCGTGAGATCGACAGGCGGATTGGTGCTGCATCTGCAGCGATGCAGGCGTTGTACCGGTCTGTTGTGGCGAAGAGAGAGCTGAGTCAGAAGGCGAAGTTCTCCACTTACTGTTACTCCACGCACCCTCATAGGTTTACGAGATTTGGGTAGTGACCCAAAGTGCGAAATTGCGAATACAAGCGGCTGAAATGAGTTTTCTCCTCAGGGTGGCTGGGCTATTCCTTAGAGACAGGGTGAGAAGCTCGGCCCTCCGGGAGGGGCTCGGAGTAGACCCGCTGCTCCTCCACATCGAGAGGAGCCAGTTGAGGTGGCTCGGGCATCTGGTCAGGATGCCTCCTGGACGCCTCCCTGGTGAGGTTTTCTGGGCACGTCCAACCGGGAGGAGACCTAAAGGTAGACCCAGGACACGGTGGAGGGACTATGTCTCATGCATTGGAATCCCCTGGAGGAGCCGACCCAAGTGGCTGAGAAGTCCCAGTGACCCGACTCAGGCTGTATGACTGATGGATGGACGACTACAGTTTAAATTCTTGTTGTTTTCTGTATGAAATGAGAAAAATGATAACCTCTTTATGGAGTAGAAGCATCTAGTTGTGTATAATCTGTAACTACCAGAGTCACCTGGTTCCAGATGACTGAGAACCTTCAGCAGAACGTTCCGTTTAGGTGTTTTTATATAAACAACAGAAGTGCTGCTGCAGAAAAAGACCCACAAGCATGGCTGCCACCTGAGCACTTCATCTGTTTCATACAAACAATCAGATTTTATTTATTACCTGATGTTTGTGTGCAGAGGTGAAAAATGCTAAAAGCTTTAATTTTTCACTTCGTTTGATTTTACTCCATTTAGTGGACATGCACAGCATCCTAAAAGCAACGTACATCGTTTTAGTGTCAGCGACCACAGCAGCTCCTCCGAGACACGCCTGGAGAGCGTTTCTCTGTTTGTTTTCTGTGAAGACTTCAGCTTTAAACAAGTTTACACAAGCCGAGGGAGGCTGACCCTCGGAGGCAATCGCTCTTAATTTCAAAGGCTGCCATGTTTTTATGTTTTCTCTATGGCCGGGGCAGACAATGGAGCCTGCACTGCCAAAGTACATCAATTATCCAGCACAGAAATCACTATTGGAGTACCAAAGTAGTGGACAAATGATAGCCATGGGCACGTCTCGCAATGAGAAAAGAAGTGGTGAAGGGAGTGATAAAGTGAAGCCAATGACAAACGAGGCAATAGCCCCTGAAAAAAATCAATCCCCTTGAACCATGTTTACACTCGGAGCAATCAGTCATTAGTTTAAACATATGGTGGGTTCATCTGGAGGGCTCCCTTTGTGATACACTCCAAGTTTAAAGATAGATACTGAAATCAGATGAGAATGAAACACAAAACGAGACGAGATCATCGGAGAGGGCAAGGTTACCGACAGCAGAGACGGCAGCCTTCAGGGGACAAAAGGGTAAAATAACAAGTCTGTTCTTCTCATGTGAGGGTGCGTTCATGGAGAAAACTGAACTAAATGCTAACAGTGAAAATCACGTTAACTAATAAACTCTAAGTCCAATTAAGGCTGGTTTAAAATTAGAATGTCTTTATTGTCAATTAGTGAATAAATGAAAATGAAATAACGCATCAGGTACGAGGTTATCATGCATCAGGTATGAGGTTATCGTGCATCAGGTATGAGGTTATAGTGCATCAGGTATGAGGTTATCGTGCATCAGGTATGAGGTTATCGTGCATCAGGTATGAGGTTATCGTGCATCAGGTATGAGGTTATCATGCATCATGTATGAGGTTATCATGCATCATGTATGAGGTTATCATGCATCAGGTATGAGGTTATCATGCATCAGGTATGAGGTTATCATGCATCAGGTATGAGGTTATCATGCATCAGGTATGAGGCTATCATGCATCATGTATGAGGTTATCATGCATCAGGTATGAGGTTATCATGCATCAGGTATGAGGTTATCATGCATCAGGTATGAGGTTATCATGCATCAGGTATGAGGTTATCGTGCATCAGGTATGAGGCTATCATGCATCAGGTATGAGGTTATCATGCATCAGGTATGAGGCTATCATGCATCAGGTATGAGGCTATCATGCATCAGGTATGAGGCTATCATGCATCAGGTATGAGGTTATCATGCATCAGGTATGAGGTTATCATGCATCAGGTATGAGGTTATCATGCATCAGGTATGAGGCTATCGTGCATCAGGTATGAGGCTATCATGCATCAGGTATGAGGTTATCATGCATCAGGTATGAGGCTATCATGCATCAGGTATGAGGCTATCATGCATCAGGTATGAGGCTATCATGCATCAGGTATGAGGTTATCATGCATCAGGTATGAGGCTATCATGCATCAGGTATGAGGCTATCATGCATCAGGTATGAGGCTATCATGCATCAGGTATGAGGTTATCATGCATCAGGTATGAGGTTATCATGCATCAGGTATGAGGCTATCATGCATCAGGTATGAGGCTATCATGCATCAGGTATGAGGCTATCATGCATCAGGTATGAGGTTATCATGCATCAGGTATGAGGCTATCATGCATCAGGTATGAGGTTATCATGCATCAGGTATGAGGCTATCATGCATCAGGTATGAGGTTATCATGCATCAGGTATGAGGTTATCAAGCATCAGGTATGAGGTTATCATGCATCAGGTATGAGGTTATCATGCATCAGGTATGAGGTTATCATGCATCAGGTATGAGGTTATCATGCATCAGGTATGAGGTTATCATGCATCAGGTATGAGGTTATCATGCATCAGGTATGAGGTTATCAAGCATCAGGTATGAGGTTATCATGCATCAGGTATGAGGTTATCATGCATCAGGTATGAGGTTATCATGCATCAGGTATGAGGTTATCATGCATCAGGTATGAGGTTATCATGCATCAGGTATGAGGTTATCATGCATCAGGTATGAGGTTATCAAGCATCAGGTATGAGGTTATCATGCATCAGGTATGAGGTTATCAAGCATCAGGTATGAGGTTATCATGCATCAGGTATGAGGTTATCATGCATCAGGTATGAGGTTATCATGCATCAGGTATGAGGTTATCAAGCATCAGGTATGAGGTTATCATGCATCAGGTATGAGGTTATCATGCATCAGGTATGAGGTTATCAAGCATCAGGTATGAGGTTATCATGCATCAGGTATGAGGTTATCAAGCATCAGGTATGAGGTTATCATGCATCAGGTATGAGGTTATCATGCATCAGGTATGAGGTTATCATGCATCAGGTATGAGGTTATCATGCATCAGGTATGAGGTTATCATGCATCAGGTAAGAGGTTATCATGCATCAGGTATGAGGCTATCATGCATCAGGTATGAGGTTATCATGCATCAGGTATGAGGTTATCAAGCATCAGGTATGAGGTTATCATGCATCAGGTATGAGGTTATCATGCATCAGGTATGAGGTTATCATGCATCAGGTATGAGGTTATCATGCATCAGGTATGAGGCTATCATGCATCAGGTATGAGGTTATCATGCATCAGGTATGAGGTTATCATGCATCAGGTATGAGGTTATCATGCATCATGTATGAGGTTATCATGCATCAGGTATGAGGTTATCATGCATCAGGTATGAGGTTATCATGCATCAGGTATGAGGTTATCATGCATCAGGTATGAGGCTATCATGCATCATGTATGAGGTTATCATGCATCAGGTATGAGGTTATCATGCATCAGGTATGAGGCTATCATGCATCAGGTATGAGGTTATCATGCATCAGGTATGAGGTTATCATGCATCAGGTATGAGGTTATCATGCATCAGGTATGAGGTTATCGTGCATCAGGTATGAGGTTATCATGCATCAGGTATGAGGTTATCATGCATCAGGTATGAGGCTATCATGCATCAGGTATGAGGCTATCATGCATCAGGTATGAGGCTATCATGCATC